GTTTAAACCAATCAGCATTATCTGGTAGTGTGTGTTAGCATTTAACAAAAAAGAACTTAAAATCTTGAATTCATCTCTGACAGTGCTAACTTTTGAAAAATGCCTAGTTTGACCAAGTGTGGAATGTGGACAGTTAAAGGATCTTGAACCGGAGAAGGCCGATACAAGGACTGTAGTAGCAATCATTCTAGGAGGGGGAGCTGGCACTCGTCTTTTCCCCCTCACCAAGCGCCGTGCTAAGCCTGCTGTAAGTTTTCTTCAGATTATCGAAGAAAATATTACCCGCACCTCACCATTGAGTCACTATTAATTCGTCTCAGGTTCCAATTGGAGGAGCATACAGGCTAATTGATGTACCAATGAGCAACTGCATCAACAGTGGCATCAACAAAGTTTACATTCTCACCCAATTCAACTCTGCCTCGCTTAACAGGCATATTGCTCGGGCTTACAACTTTGGCAATGGTGTCACATTCGGAGATGGCTATGTCGAGGTAAACACCAATGTTTATTTTCCTGTATAGTTCAGGTTTTGATGATATTGGCAACATCATGGCTGATAAGTTGTAACATAGGTCTTAGCAGCAACTCAAACACCAGGTGAAGCAGGTAAAAGATGGTTCCAAGGTACTGCAGATGCTGTTAGGCAATTCCACTGGCTTTTTGAGGTACTCACTCTCCTTTGTATCTGATCTCCTGGTCACATTGCATTGCAATTTCCTTAGATTCATTTAGAAAAGACCCGATACCAAGTAAGAGCGCACTAGCTGGTCGGTGTGAATAATAAAGTCTTAAGTCAGTCTTTCTTGAACGCNGAAGGGCAAATGATTCATTTAGAAAAGATCCGATACCAAGTAAGAGCGCACTAGCTGGTCGGTGTGAATGATAAAGTCTTAAGTCAGTCTTTCTGGAACGCCACATCTTAGAATAGCAACATCCTTCTTATTACAGCACAAACCACAAAAAAGGAATTGCCTATAGAGAGGAAGTAGGCTTTAGACAAAAAGTGCCTCTTGTGCCCCTAGTAGGGAAAGAAGCTGAGAGAGAGAGAGAGCAGCTCTCCCTTAAAGTCCTTTATAGATTTCTAGTTAGGAATAGAGCTATGGCTTAGATCCCCTGATCGAGTAATGGGCTTTGTTTTTCTCTCGTTCACGTTGATAGCCCCAGTTTATCCCAATAGTGAAAATAACTCCAGATTCCTGCACTGCAACATTTTTGTCTTCCTGATATTCATATATTAGTTCGTATCAATATGCCCTTCCTCTCAGGTTTCTTTTTATCTTCCTCCCATGTTTTTCTTCAATATGTAACAATTGATCTGAAGAGGCATTGAAATGCATATATTCATATGTTGTATCAGGATATTTCAATAGTATATGACCACAACTCAACCTTTAGACTGAACAAGGTCCAGCAGTAACTTGCACAATGAAAAAAATGACATATGCAAGATCAAGTTAACTGAGCTGTGTCAGTTTACTTCCAGGAAAACTTAATCACATGCGAAAAATACAGAACTTAACAGCATGTAAATACAAGCAATATGTTCTCCACGCTCAGCTATGACCATCACCACAATTATCTCATCATATGGCTTAATAGTAGACATCAGTTAATGAAATTCACATTGATTTTCATAACTGAAGGATCAAAGAAGCAAGGACATAGAAGATGTGCTCATTCTCTCTGGAGATCACTTGTATAGAATGGACTACATGGACTTTGTTCAGGTAAGGCTATAGACTAATATATACCTTGCTTGATATCATTTTCTCGGAAAGATTGTCTATTACTCAAAAGTGAAAAAATCCATCTCCACTTCTTGACAGAGTCATAGGAAAAGTGGTGCAGACATTACCATATCAAGCTTGCCAATAGACGACAGGTAGTTTAAGAGGGATAATCAAAATCCTAGATAGGCTATTCTTCCTCTCAGCAATGGCATGCTATGTCAAGTATTGCTTTGATAATCACTACAAAACATAATTTCTTCTACTGAATCACTTGTATGTTTTCATGATAGACGTGCTTCAGATTTTGGCTTGATGAAAATTGATGACACAGGACGGGTCCTGTCCTTCAGCGAAAAGCCAAAAGGAGATGACTTGAAGGCGATGGTAATTCTTGAAAATTTGACAGTCTCAGAGCTTAACCTACTTCAAAAATTTTAAGTTGCTGCAATCAATTGACAACAAGTACTTCAGGCAGTAGACACATCTGTTCTGGGATTATCCCCGGAAGAGGCTAAAAAGAAACCTTACATTGCTTCAATGGGAGTTTACGTCTTCAAGAAGGAGATTCTCCTAAATCTCTTAAGGTATGTAACGAGCTTCTTCTTCTATAGTACCTTATTTTAGAAGGTGTCATGGTCAACATGCAAATGATAGAAATTTTGGAGAAAGCGGGCCAGAAAAAACAAGAAATCATAGTCATCCAGATAATAGGGGCAGCTACGTTCAAAAGAAGCAAATTGTGGTGGCTATTATAAAACAAGTAACATGCTGAAGATATCAGGTAAAAGAAGATCATTAACTGCTTACTCTTTGTCTTCTTTTAGATGGCGTTTTCCGACAGCAAATGACTTTGGTTCAGAGATTATTCCTGCCTCTGCCAAAGAATTCTGTGTCAAGGTTTGTACCACTTCATTTCTGTTTGGCATTTACACAAGACCTTGATCTGTTTGTTCAAAAAATTTACTACGACATCCAATCTTCTTGTTTCCATCATAAGGCAAGATATTCAATGTTGTTTCAATTCACTATTCTGGCTATGATCTCCTAAACAGCTTAACTTCAACCTCTATGGTGACTAAAGCATTCTTCACCTGATTTTGCAGGCTTACTTATTCAATGATTACTGGGAAGATATTGGTACAATCAGATCCTTTTTTGAAGCAAACCTTGCACTCACTGAACACGTAAGAATCAGAGAACTATATGTTTTTAGCCTTTAAATGGTCTTGTTTCTTCAAACAATCTGAGTAAGATAAAAGCTGGCTATTGGACACCTGTATCAATCTCATTTGACAATCTTAAACATGATTGTTTACAGTAAATAATATGGCCAACTAATTTTTCTTTTTCATTTCAGCCACCAAGTTTTAGTTTCTATGATGCAACAAAGCCTATTTACACATCAAGGAGAAACTTACCGCCGTCAGCGATTGATAACAGCAAGGTTTAGACAAGGACATAGTACTTCAATCTTAAGCAGAATTATCTTTAAATATTCTTCCACTAACCAAGTCTAAATGTTGTCAGATTGTTGATTCAATTGTTTCACATGGTAGTTTCTTGACCAATTGCTTCGTGGAGCACAGTGTTGTCGGAATCCGATCCCGTATAGGCTCCAATGTTCACTTGAAGGTTAGTCTAGTAAAACTGCACACTAAATGAAATTTCAGCACTATGCTTTTGAAAAACAAAACTAAAATTGGTTTTCCAACTAGACTCAACAAACAAAACTCCATGTAGATTCAACAAAAAAATGTTTCATATTGAAACAAGAAGTAGCACATATATACCCATGCAAACACGTTTAGCAATCATGTGGGTTATTTGGAAAGAAAGAAATAGAGGGCATTTGAAGGGGCGGAACAAGATATTGTAAAATTGCAAAATAGTCTTTTGTTTCTTGTTTCTTTTTGGTGTACTCATGAGGTCCCGATTTGTATAGAGGACTGGGGCTATCTTGTTGAGAACCATATTTTGGTATAGGTTCTCTTCTTTTTGGTATACGGCTTGTATACGAGGTTTCCCATAAAATTATTTACCTTTTCAAAAAAAAAAAAATTACTTCTCTGCTTACTTGATTTTGTAATTTCTGCTAATTCCTCATACACTTGGTTGGTGTGAAATCCGTACAGGACACAGTGATGCTTGGTGCTGACTACTATGAAACTGATGCTGAGATTGCCTCACACCTAGCTGAAGGAAAAGTGCCTATTGGAATAGGAGAAAATACAAGAATAAAGTAAAAACACTAAGATGTTTCTCCTTCTGTGTCATTCAGCTAGAAATTGGATGTGACTGATCTTAATTTCAATTCTGACGTTGTTATTTCAACTAATATGCAGAGAATGCATCATTGATAAGAATGCAAGAATTGGAAAGAACGTAGTTATTGCCAACTCAGAGGTACGATCCTCCCGTACTCCTACCAACAGCAAAGGGATTAAATTTTATTTCAATTTTATCCTGTTCTTACTGGGACTCACTTATTTTCCTCTACTACATCAATTTGCAGGGCGTACAAGAAGCAGACAGATCCTCAGAAGGTTTTTACATTCGATCAGGCATAACAGTCATATTGAAGAACTCAACAATTTCAGATGGATTAGTGATATGAATTGCAGCAATGATTTGTCTTCTTTTCTTTCATGTAGTGTTGACACAGAAAGTTGTGAAATTAAAATATGAGCAGAAGTAAAAGTCTCACATTCTCAACTTGTCCACTTCCAGCGAGTAAAGTTTGAACTACAGGCTGATGCTAAAAATAAAAGTTGTTTATCCCATTCATGAATTTCGATCAAACAATAATATGCTTGATATAAAGTAAATGTTTTCAAAAAACCGGCCTGCGATGACACTAACAAAACACTATAGAGTGTTGACAGTAATATTTTACATTAGTCGAGAACAAGCTTCTTCTAGTCAGAACCAAAGAAGGATAAAAAGTTTAGACTTACAGGTAAGACCAGTTAAATGCATCAAAAAACCTGCACAGTGTTTCACTAGATCGCATCATTATTCAAATATTTCTTCTGTTTTCTCACCTGTTTACTGGATCCTTACCAACATTGCTCTGAAATTTTAGGTGGTAGTTAACAATTTGGGTAAAAGATAAAGGAACTTAGTGTAACATTTTTGAAAGAGCACTCGAAGATAACCATTCAATTATAACATTTTACCAATTGACCTTGCAAATGTCTTGCTTAAATTAATAAAATTACGCAGCTGTTTAGAAGTTATGAAAACCAAAGGGACTAATGTACTTTCTAATTGATGGTATCAGCTGTTAATTTATCTTGTCCTTCATTTTTAAATAAGCAAGACAGAGTCAAATGTGATTTTTGAGGCTAAGATTATGGAGAAGAACTCACAATACAGTTAAACGAATAGCTGTTCACAACAAAACATTAATTCGTTCTCGAATCTCTGTAACACAAACCGCTCTTCCACTGTTATAATGCTGGTAACAAAACATTTTTTATCTGAAAATGGTTTCCTACCAGTCCTGCCAGCTCGATGAAGGTAATTTACCGCATCTTTTGGGATATCAAAATTGTATATATGTGTTGTCTCTGGTAGATCAACTCCTCTAGCTGCTATATCTGTTGCCACCAATAGATAACCTCCTCCTCCTCGAAGCTCCTGTATCTCAGCAACATATAAACCATGTACTAAAATATGAATTACATTATATACAGAAAGACGAAGATTAAAGTTCCATTTCCTAGAGTCTAATAAATTGACCAAATATAAATAACATATCAGCACAACTTACAGATAAGGATGCCGCTCGTTTATTGAAATTCATATCTTCCTCTAGAAGAGAGACATTGGAAAAGCCTCCAGAAGATGACATTAAAAAATCTACCAAAAGAGTTATCGGTGGTGCATTTCCTGCCTTTTTTGACTTCTCAGACTGCTCAAAAGTTAAACAATATTGTTCAAAGTATACAACTATTTAATAAGTTAAACTAAAATATCAAAAATTGCACAGATAAGTAATAGTCATTTTTTTATCTATGACCATAGTTCCTTTCCAATTCAAAACAGTAACTCCATTCAATTAGACATGTGATGCACCGACAGCTGATTTTTCAACAATACATGCAGTTGAAAGGAAACTCTGTGTGTGTGTGTGTATATATATATGCATTCCCATAATGAAATTTAGAAGTTCTGTGTAGTTCCCCAAATAAAACACCCATTTAGAAAGACAAGTAAAAGGAAGCATAAAAACAGTCTTCTTGAAAGTCCAAAAGCAACCCAGCAAAGTGAAAACCTTTTCCAGCTTCTGGTGCAGAGGGATGAGAATACTCATACTGCTATTCTCTACAAGATCATTCCGGATAATAATCTGGAAACTCATCCAACCTCTAATTCCACAGTAATTCTTGTGTGTGCTTTCATAGACTATGAATAAAGAGGGGTCTCAATACTTGAAAGTGATCAACATCACAATTGAATATTGATCACACTATTCAAGGAATTATGGTTCCCTGTCATTCTAACTAGTAACTACACACAAAGACAATCTACTATATCGAGACTCAACAGGGTTAAAGACACTAACTTGCTCGCTGACAAAAATTATGGCAGATTCAGGTGAATCCACCTGCAGTAAGGAGAGCAACACTTGATTCTTTTCCCTTTTGGTGCATACCTGCACGTGAAAAGTCGGAAACAATTACATAGAAATAGAAATAAACAAGGGACAGAGTAAGTAAGATCCAGCAACGTGAAAGAGAATCATCTAATTTCTGACGATCAAGTTTTTAGCATGCATNAAAAAAAAGGTTAAAGAGAGCTGTATAAGTTTATGTTAGTCTCACCACAAATCTATGATGGAGGCACGAGGGCATCGGCTCTACTGAATTCACATGGACATGAACTACGTCAGCCTATCATTATAATTTAGATAAGTACATCTTTTATGTGATTATCATCAGGTAATTACAAGTCATAATAAGAAATCAAAATGAATACTTGTGCCAGCTCACTTTGGTCCATTTTTGCTGTACACAGTCATACAAGAATCTCCTGTGCTGGGGAATTGAAGCACTAGCAAATATAGTTTGACGGTTCTTGCTGGATGAGTAGGACGTCAATAGCCTTTTAAGAGAGCTGATCTCTTTTGAAGAGTTGAACATGAAATCAACCTAAAATTATGTAATAATGAACATTCTTTCTATTTTGCGAATTGAATTGAAGTTGAGCAAAATAATTGCAAAATACAAGTAGAAGATTCAACTGTTAGAGACTTAAGTATGATTAAATTAGATAGCTTGTTCATGATACAGAAGCATTTTAGAAATATTGTTCCCGGGCACTTTTTCAGAGAAGAGTTTATTCTGACAGGCGACAGCTCTTATCAAAAGAAGCAGAAAAGAAAAAGTTATAATTGCGCTGACAGCATGGTTTTAAATTGCTCGGCAGCATCATGCTGATATCATTGAGCTCACTCTTCATTGGATCCCATTCTAGTAAAGTTTCAACACAGACAGAGAAATATATATGATAGAAAATGCATCTTGATTACCTCATCGACAACAAGTACTTGGCAGGAATCTAGCTTTAAAATATGTTTCTCAAGCATTTGACACAAACTCCCCATAGTTGCAACCACAATAGTGGGTGGCTCAGCCTGTAACAGCACAAGCATCTCAGAATCAACACCAACACGTAAAAAAATATGCTGAAGCTTCCTCTTAATTTCTTGGAAAAAAGAGCAGTAGTAAACAAAAACAGAGGTACTGGGAGAGAGGCAACAGAAGTTAGAACAAGTTCACAGAACATCCTGAAAAAGAAAATTGCAAAGGTGCAACAAATTGAGTTAAAGATCCACAACAGTATCTTTAGAAAGATGACGTACACTACTGCAATACCACCTGTACTAAGAAATCTATAGACTGAGTCCAACCCAGTGTTTTGTGTATGTTTGTGAATCTCGGTGTGTGCGTGCCCGTGTGAGAGAGTGAGCGAGAGAGAGAGAGATTATGGATAGTTAATACATAGTTATTTATTGCTTACAAGGTGGTTTCCATTGTGCTTGATTCAGTTGTAGACAAGATTTGTTCATATGCGGTTCTGGACTTATCTTTCATTTTCAAGCAGTAGGGACATTTGAAAATTACACATTTCATGATGAACCACAGTGAAGAGTGTAAACTTCAAGATGCAAGACAGAACAACAACAATAAGCACCGAAAATAAGGAAATTTGGACAAAATGAAATAAAGATTTCAAGGTTTACTAAGAGGGAACCAGAGGAAGGAGACAAAATATTTTTTTTTTTTTTTTGGGAATGGTAACAGAGAACAAAACACAAAATCCTAATTAAGAGTTCTGACATCAACATATTCAAGTGAAGGCTGGGGCAAGTAGATGAATGTCAAGATGATTTTGACTCTAGGGATATATGAGTAATACAAGTTGAGAGCACTAGTTTAAGCTTTCCTCATTCAGTGATTGAAATCTACAAGGAACAATAATTTCTATGGTACCTTTAACCAACTCTTGTGTCTGTTTAACATCCCCCCATCTAGAAGAGCCATAACAGTGCATGATTTCGGTCCTGATTTAAGTTCTGAAGGCTTTGCAGCGAGTGTCCGAGCAACCTTCGTAACCTAGCTAAAGCAGAGTTAACTTTCAATGCATCCCTAGAGTTCCTTCTTTCTGCAAACATATGCTACAAGTAGAATGCAAAAAGGAATAACTCCACAAAATCTTACTTGCATGCCAAGCTCCCTAGTAGGCACCACAATCAATGCTTGTACTGCTGACCTTTGACTGTCAATGACTGACAGCATTTGTAGCAGGTATGCCAAAGTTTTTCCAGAACCTGTCTAGTGGGATAAATAAAAAGCAAACGACTTCCAGAATTTCATTAACAGCATACGAAGCCAGTTGGAAAATGGGACAAGAGGAAAAAAGGCAAAAATGATTAAAATGGGTAAGCAAATGGGTCATTTATTGCTAAGATCTTGTAAATGAGTTTTCGTCGCCTTTACATTTCATCTTTCCAATTTCAACATTTTGTTTTAGAAGTAACAACTTGTACATTTTCCTACTAGAAAAATTAGACCTTTCAAATGCCCTTTTAACAGTATTTTTCCCCTGAAAAACAATGATATGATGGATATCTTTAAATGATGAAATGGCAAGAAAAATTAAGAAACCTTTCAGCCCTCTCCGTCGCAAGTAAGGAGTCGGGCACAAAGAAACAAAAAGAACAAAAAAAAAAAGGAAATATGCTCAAATGATAGAAGTTTGTGACATCCACCCCCTAGGATCTGTAAGAATATTGTCAACTTACATGGTAGTATGGTACTAGAATCATCCAATCTATACATTCATATAATCCTGATCTTAGCGGAGATGATGTGGCACCTCTCTTAGACTAGGATTCTTATTTATCTTTTACCTCTTTTTTTCATTTTGAGCAACTCCACTTTTTTTCTTTCCTTAATTATATTCATTCTTCCCATTTTTTCAAAAACACTTAATACATCATAATAATTCAATGGATGTAGTTTCCTACAACTTGAGGATTCTTTATTTCAAAGCCAGTGGTGGAAAAACTTTGGCAATTAGGCAGATGGAAAGTTAGTAATTCTTCCCAATGACTGGTACAAAGTGACCTATGTACAATTTCTCAGTCTGAATATTTGCCGGCATCTATATCTATGGATGCTTAAACTCTCCTGTCAGAGATGCAAGTGCATTCTGGAGAGATCTACACATATAACATCTAATGCTACAAGAAACAAAGAGATTTCTTTGAGATCTCCTGCATCATCTTGAATGAGGAGTCCTTAACCCCAGTCCCAAGCATTGATATCTCCGCTTTTGTGGTGGTTTTGCTGGAGGCATTGTCAGTCAAGCACCCATAAGCAGTGGCAATGGTAAAGGAGAAGATGAATTTAAGCTGTTTGAGAAAATAAACGTCATTTGGCAATCGATAACGCAGACGAGCTAAGGGAACGGATAGAAGTGCACTGTGAGAGAATTATTCATTTGATGCAGCAGTGACATTGGCAGATCTAGCTAGAGCATGTGTGGAGGATGAGCCGTCATTAAGAGCAAATGCTGAAGAACTTGTGGAAAAGTTACCTATTCTAATCCATAACAAAACTTCAGATGTATGCTTAACAAAGTGGATAACCAGAGGAGGGAGATTCAACCCTTAAATCTTGCTAAGACTCGAGCTAACTTGCTCTTCACCTTCCCGTCCTACATTGAATCCTCACATTCTCTTTTTATATACGGAATGAAAGTGTATGTTTCTGTTTTTCTGTATATCCTTTTTGTCTGCGTATAATTAGACTATAGCAATTACTAATGATTATTGTTAGACCGAAACATCCTCTCTTAAGCATACAAATCGAGTTGAGAGTACCCGAATTTGGTTGGACAAGACAAAAAGGTTTAATATCATGAACTTAATTGAAGTTATAAATTTGTCAGTTTAGATTATTTTTGTGAGAAAAAGAAATTTTTAGTTTTTGCGGAAAAATCTACTTTTTAATATTTGGGTATTAAAAGAAGATCTTTTCGCAGATTTAATGAAATCTTTCACGACTGTGCGATGCACGGGTAATACACTAGTGATATATAAAAGATGATGTATGTATTGTTATAGTTCAACAAATCAAGAATAATGTTCTCCCTACCTAGAGTAGCTCACCATTCACTAAATAAGAGCTGCTACAAGCTTACAAACAATAGAATGGCTTCAAAGAACATTGAAGTTAGAAAAATGAAACAGCACTCCTTACAGAAACCATAGTTGTGAATGTTTCAGGAGCAATGCATAAAACACATCTTAAACAAAAAGTCCTTCTCACACAAAAATATCAAGAATCACGCAATCCAGCTTCAACAAGTACAACACTGAAAGCAATGTCCCATAAGTATACCTGAGCATGAAGCACACAATCACGTCCCGAATAGAGGAAAGGCAATGCCAGTAGCTGCACTTCTGTAGGTATCACATATCCAACCTCTTCCACCCTGCAATTTGTGCTCCATATATCATTTCTCCTTAGATCCAACTCTTTAAATAATTCAAGTAATTCTCACTTTCTTTTTTTCCCAAAGACAATCTGAAATTACAGTGCACGGGTTGAATTAATGATAAAAAATTATTATTTCAATCATTTTCTAGTAGACTTTCCGCTGCCTTTATTACAAAACCCAAACTTCAATCACTCTATATTCAGAAAGTTCAACCAGAATAAACTAATGGACGGAGATAGTTAATAAATATTGTCTAAAGCTTTACAATTTGAAGATTACCTAAGAATTACTTCACAAGCTCAAAATATTAATAATTTCTTAAATCAAAATTTTGGTTCTTATGAAGTACCAATTATTGTAATATCCACAGCGTCAATTAAAAACTACTCCTACTTTTAATTCAATGTAAAAAAAAATCACACTTTTTACATGCGCAACTTCGATATAAAAGCTCTGTAAGTATCAATTGAATCAATATTTGGAGAAAATTCTGTAACAAGCACTAGTCCTTCTAGAAAAATCCGGAATATCAAGCAATGTAATTCAACAAAGCGATGAGAAAAGAGTTGAGTGTTAAGGAACGGCAGCTAACCGGCGAATCACGTGCTCGGGCACGTGACCATGACAGAGTTCCCGGGGCGTTGCCGTTGATGAATCCTTCGTTTCAGTTCTAGCTTCGATGTCGGAGGTGCTGAAGGAAGCTATCAATGGCTTTTGACGGAAGAGAAATTTCGGAGTCCGATAGGTATAGTTAGGTTTGAAATGGTGGGAGGTACGGTTCAACGATGAAGTCCATAAAAGAGTATGCAGCTGAGTTGCAGAGAAACACGCCATGGGAAGTAGGAACTGGACGCTCGAGAAGAACGCAGAAGTAAATTTGATGAAGATGATGAAACAACAACAACAACGGGCCCGAGGGGCGTAGAGGCCGTTTCGAGGAGACCGTCTGCTCGGGAAAGCAAGGATACATGATATATTAGTACAATCAATACAATCATACTAAAATAATACGAAATAGGCGGAAGGTAGAATAATAACGAGCATTAGTAGATAACTAGTAGCGTCTAAGACTAATTCTTAACTGGCTAGTCTCACTCTAGTGCGTCGTAAAAATATTCACAACTTTCCCCTAATTTATAACTTTAATGTTCGACCTCCATAATTTCCTGTCAAGGGCCATGTCCTCAGTAATCCTAAGTCGCGTTATGTCCTGCCCGATCACCTCTCCCCAATACTTCTTAGGTCGCCCTCTACCTCTCCTCGTGCCTACCGCAACCAGTCGCTCACACCTCCTCACCGGTGCATCAGTGCTCCTCCTTTTAATGTGCCCGAACCATCTGAGTCTTGCTTCCCGCATCTTGTCCTCCATGGGGGCCACGCCCACCTTCTCTCGAATATCTTCATTCATAATCTTATCCATCCTTGTATGCCCGCACATCCACCTCAACATCCTCATCTCTGCTACTTTCATCTTCTGGATGTGTGAGTTCTTAACCGGCCAACACTCAGTCCCATACAACATGGCAGGCCTAAAACCACTACTCTATAAAACTTACTTTTTAGTAATGGTGGCACTTTCTTGTCACACAAAACTCCCGACGCTAACCTCCACTTCATCCACCTCACCCCTATACTGTGTGTGACATCCTCGTCGATCTCCTCGATCCCCTGAATAACCGACCCAAAGTACTTGAAACTACCCCTCTTGGGAATGACTTGAAAGTCAAGCCTCACATCCACTCCCGCTTCCATCGGCTCGACCCCAAATTTGCACTCGAGGTATGAAGATGATGAAACACAATACGAAAAACAGTACGATGTCGTTATGAAAATGGCGGAATACAAATATCTTTTCTCTTTAAAAATGGCATATATGCTATGAAAATATTATGTTATGGACGTCCATTTAATACTCCATTATAGATAATCTTTCTTTTTCTTTTTTTATTTATAGACCGTGGTATCTACATACGACAAGGTTCCCAGAAAAGTTCTCTATAGATGCTTGGAGGCAAAAAGTGTGTTGTTTGCCTAAATTTGGGCAATTAAGGACATGTATGGGGGGCTATGACTCGGGTTAGGACAATAAGAGGCGACTATGAGCATTTTCCAGTTATTTTGGCGTTACACCAAGGCTCCGCGCTCAGCCTGTTCTTATTTTCCCTGGTGATGGACGCGTTAACACATCATATTCAAGGGGATGTGTCGTGGTGTATGTTATTCGCCGATGACATAATTCTTATTGATGAGTCGCGAACCAGTGTTAACGAGAGGTTGGAGGTCTGGAGACATGCTCTTGAGTCTAAGGGTTTCAAGTTGAGCAGGACGAAGACGGAATACCTGGAGCGGAAGTTCAGCGCTGAGCCAAGGGAAGTTGACGTGGAAGTGAGGCTTGAATCACAGGTCATCCCATGTAGCTGTAATTTCAAGTACCTTGGGTCGGTTATCAAAGGGGAAGGGGAGATCGATGAAGATGTCACACATCGTATTTGGGTAGGGTGGATGAAGTGGAGGTTAGCATCTAGAGTCCTGTGTGATAAGAGAGTGTCACTGATACTTAAAGGTAAGTTTTACAAAGCGGTGGTTAGACCGGCCATGATGTTCGGGGCTGAGTGTTGGTTTGTTAAGAACTCACATACCCAGAAGATGAAAGTAACAGAAATGAGGATGTTGAGGTGGATGTGCGGGCACACTAGGATGGATAAGATTAGGAATGAAGATATTCGGGAGAAGGTGGGTGTGGCTCCCATTGATGACAAGATGCGGGAAGCGAGGCTTAGATGGTTCGGACACGTACAAAGGAGAAGCCCAGATGTTCTGGTAAGGAGGTGTGAGCGCCTGGTTTTGGAGGGCACGAGAAGAGGTAGAGGACGGCCTAAGAAGTATTGGGAGAGGTGATCAGGTAGGACATGGAGAGGGTTTAGATTTTCGAGGACATGGCCCTTGATAGGAAGCTGTGGAGGTAGAGTATTAGGGTTGTAGGTTAGGAGATAGTTGAGTCTTTCCTTACTTCGTCCCTTTGTGAGGCTAGTCTGGTAGGGTTTCTGTCGAAGTCAGCTAGTGACAATGTTGTGTCTTACTACTATTTCATTTTTCCATAGCGTCGGGTCTATGTACTGTCTATCGTTTTTCCTTTGCATCTACTTTCTCATTTTCATGATGTTATTTTTCCTATATTTTCTATTGGTGGTACTAATATTGTCTCTTTTCGTCTTCTTGAGCCGAAGGTCTTTCGGAAACAGCCTCCCTACTTATTCGGGGTAGGAATAAGGTCTGCGTACACACTATCCTCTCTAGATCCCACTAGTGGGATTCTACTGGGTCGTTGTTGTTGTTGTTGTTGTTGTTGTTGTTGTTGTATAGACTGTGGTATCTGCAACTTAGATAGATAGGAAGAAATCAATTACACATTTTAATATTTGGAAACAATTCAACTTTAAACTTTTTATTTTACCCACTTTATTCTTAATGAAAAGCTTTTATAGCCACGCAAATGTCATAACCCTACAAATCTTTTACCCCTTAAACTTTTAAGATCACATATTTCAAAAGTTTTCTTTTTTTTCTTAAACTTTGTGTCAAGTCAAATTATCTCATCTAAATTGAAATAGAGGGAGTATAATTTTTTGCCTCTGCTAGGATTTGAACCTGAGACCTCATGGTTCTCACCCACTTTATTGACCACTAGGCCATACCCTTGGGTGATTATAGATAATCTTCCTAAAGAAGCTTATCCATTTAATACTCAATTATAGATAATTTTCCTGAAGAAGATTATCCATTTAGAATTCCGTTAAAGTTTATCTATAAGAAGCTGGCAAGCTGCAAGTAGTTGAAGCAGACTGGTTGCAAGCAACTCAATGAAATGACTTGCAACAACTTCTTATTAAACAGGAAGGTTGCGAGCAGCTCATGCAAACAGTTTATAAGCAGCTCAAGAAAAGTCTCGCAGTTGCTTCCTAGAAAGCTTGTACATGCTTTCTTTCTTCTATAAATAGAGGAGGTTTAGTTCATTATGTACATTAGTTTGAAATTGAATAATATATCAATCTCTCTTTATACTTGTATTTGATTTATTTACTTTACAATCTTTATTTTATAACACGTTATAAGCACGAGACTCTGCCATTTCGAACAAATACTTTGAAAGTATCAAAGGTACAAGCTTTCTTTTTCTAAACAATGACAAATCTTTATTGTAGCCCTGAATATATCAAGCAAAAGCAACATGTCTTGGGTGATTGATGTTGGAATTTATCTTGATTCGATGGCTTTGGCAAACACCATTAAAGATAAAAATCGGGCATCAAACCAAGATCGTGCCAAAGCAATAATATTCCTATGCCATCACCTTGATGAAGGCTTGGAATGAAATATCTCACTGTTAAAGTTTCACTTATACTGTGGAATAATATGAAAGATAGATATGAATACCTGAAGATGGTCGTTTTTTCACAAGCACGTTATGATTGGACTCATTTAAGTTTAAAAGATTTTAAGTCTATTAGTGAGTATAATTTTGCTATGTTTAAAAAATTTCTCAATTGAGATTATGTGATAATAATATCACTGATCATGATATACTGAAGAAAACTTTCACCATTTTTCATGCTCGACTATGCTCATGCAGCAATATCGAAAGATGGGATTCAAAAAATGTTTGGAACTTATCTCATATCTTATTATGGTCGAGTTACATAATGCACTATTAGTGAAAAATCATAAAAACCGCCCTATTATTCTTGTCCATTTCTTGAAGTGACTAAGATAAACTTCCAGCAAGCTAAGCATAGAAAGGGTCGTGGCTCCAATCTTGGTCATGGTCGTGGTCAAGCAAAAACTCTAATCATAATAATTATAACGCACCAAAGAACCCTCCTCGCCACTAGCAATGTCCAAAAGCATGAAGCGGTGCAAACGATAAATACAGAAAGTGCATGCTATAGATGTGGAGGAAAAGGGCATTGGTCACGTACATGTGGTACGCCAAAGCACCTGGTTGAGCTTTATCAAACCTCCCTAAAGAAGACAGACAAAATGCGGAAGCAAATTTTATTTGTGAAGATAATGTTGACTTCATGCATTTGGATGTAGCTGATTTCTTTGCACTTCCAGAAGGAGAAATAAATCATGTGATCAGTGATGGATCTGTAGAAACTTGAATAATTTAATTTTGATTCTCTGTATTAGCTAGTATGATCATGATAATATAATTTCTATACGTAAATAAAAGTCATGCTTTGATAATAATATTTACTATAATATTTATTTTGTTTATATCATTTCATTTTCAAGAATATGGACATTCCTTAAAATATGTTTGGATCAAAAACTAATCATGAAGATATTTGTGTGATTGATAGTAGAACAACCCATGTTATAATCAAATATCATAAATACTTTCTTATTTGCATAGAGAAAAGAAAAATATTTTTACAATTTTTGGTGATAAGTTTAATTGAAGGCTCCGAAAGAGCCACTATATTTCTGCCTAAGGGAACAAAACTTATTTATAGACAATGCATTGTTCTCTTCTAAGTCTCGAAAAAACTTGTTGAGTTTTAAAGATATACGCCGTAATGAATATCATGTTGAGACAATAGATGAAATGAATGTGGAATATCTTTGTATTACAAAGAATGTCTCTGGCCAGAAGTATGCTATAAAAATTACCATCTTTATCTTCTGACTTATACTATACTAAAGATTAGTATAGTTGAAGCACACTCTATCGTAAACCATAAGTTTAGTGATTCAAATACTTTTGTGCTCTAGAAAGGTGGCTTGAACCATCCTGGATCAATAATGATAAGGCCAATTATTGAAAATTCAAAGGGGCATTTATTAAAGAATCTGAAGATTCTTACAAATGATAAATTTTCTTGTGATGCTTGTTATCAAGGCAAAATGATTACTAGACCATTATAAATGAAGGTTGGCATTGAATCCTCAGCTTTTTTATAATATATACATG